GCGAGGACGACGGAGGGACTGGGGGGAAGACCAGGGATCAGACACGGCGTTGTGTGCGAGGACCATGGAGGGACTGGGGGGAAGACCAGGGATCAGACACGGCGCTGAGCCCGAGGACGACGGTGGGATTGGAGGGAAGACCCAGGATTGGACACAACGGGCAGTCGCCAGGGTTGGGGGGCATGGAGGGAATGCGCCCCCAGAAGTGACATGGTCAGCGTCCGGCTCCCGCTGTGTCGGCTGCCGCAGGAGAAGAGGGGCATACACACTCCGGTGTCAGAAGTGGAGCACCGGACAGAGCTGACACGTGGAAGTACCCATGTGGTGTCAGAACCCGAGGCTGTGGTTCTGAGGTGCACGTCAGAAAAAGCCGGACTGCCTTGAAGACGGTGCGCATGAATTTGGATGTTACAGGCAATTCTGATGAGGGCTTGGAGAGGAAGGGAGGGCGGAGGGCCTCACGTCTCGGCTGTGGGCCCTGTGGACACGTGGCTCGGGACGTTTCTGAGCAAAGTGCCAGAGGAGGGGCTGGGCCTCTGCTGTCTGCTCCTGGTGGATGTGGGAGAAGGGAGAGGGAGAGGAAGGCAGGGAGCTGGCAGAGAGGAGCCAGAACTAGAAGCTTTGGGAGGGTCTCTTCCTGTCTGGACACAGGGCCCAGGGTCTCGCCGGGCCTCCTTTTGCTAAGGCATCACCTGTGTGGTCCAAGCAAGCATGTCAGTAGCAGCCACGTGGCTACCCAGGAAAGGTCTGGCCTCCACCTGGGCCCTCGCTGCCACCGCCCCATGGCCTGTGGCCGCCCTGGCTGTCTGTGCGGTGTCCAGGCGAGCCTCTGCCACGGGTCCCACCCCCGCCTCTGCCACGGCCTGGCCCTCGTCTGCGGTGGCCTGGGGGGACGGAGACCGTTCTTGTGCCTCCCCTCAGCCAGATGCTCTCCTACCCGTCTCACCAGAAACTTCTCCTCCCATCCACACGCCCCGGATGCCTCAGCAGGTGGGACAAACCCTCGGGACAGGGACTTGTAGGTGGAGAGCCCTGCTGGAGAGCCCTGAGGCCCAAGCTTGGTTGCTGGCTCCCGACGTGATGGGGACCCTCTCGAGCTCGGCTGCCGTCCTTCAGCCGACTGGATGAGCCTGAGACTCTGGGTCTCCCTCACGGAGGTCTTTCCTCCATGTCCCCTGGCAGGCAGTGTGCAGACAGACCCCCCCTTTCCCACACACGCTTCACAACGAGGGATGGCCACCCCTGGATGCGCACACAGCACACATGGGCGCAGTTCGGGATAAAGAGCCTTCACGAGGAAGCAGTTTCACAGGACAAAATATACACATTTATTTCAAGGTGACATGTGTGCACACTGCAGAGCGGTGCTGCGTCCACGGCACTTGGCCTGGTCTTGAGAAGCCTGCGTCTTTGGGCGGCAAGCGGGAGGGGTGACGTGGGAAGGATTTAAGTGCAAGTCGACAGGGTCTGCAGGCTGGGAACCCCAGGCCCCAAGGCGGTGCCCCCCTGGGTCCCATCTTCTGGGTCTCTGAAGTTCTTAGCGGGGAGGGTCATTTCACCTGCAGACGACAGACACATGAGCTGTTTCCCTGCTGCCCGAGGACAGTGGGTCAGGCTCAGCCTGAGGCCATCTGTGCCCTCCCCCTCCAGGCCGCCACTACCTTGAACAGGGTGACTGTGGTGCTGTAGAAGACGCTGAGGAGGAAGAGAACGATGAAGGTGGAGGCCATGGTGTTCAGATTCTCGAAGCCCTCCTCCTCGGCGCTCACCTCCCCCTCTGCAGGGGACACAGCACAGAGGGGTCAGGCCCGGCACCAGCACAGTCCAGCCCCAGAACCACCCTCGGCCCTCGGCTGTGCTGCACCCGGGAGGGACAGGTGGGGCAGGAGAGGGTGTCCATGGCCTCCTGGCCTTGCAGTCTCCCTTGCACCCACCTTGTGGGGCTGAGGGCTCCTGGGCTCAGTCGGGAAGGGTCTAAGCCAAGCGTTAGCTGGGCCTTGACAGCCCAAAGCAGGGGGCCACGTGGAGGCAGAATGTGGCCAAAGCAGAGCAGGGTAGCCCTGAGCACCTTGTCTAGGAGCCCTGGGATGGCAGAGAGTGCGACAGAGAAACATAGACGTGGGGGTGCGGCCTGGGCTGGGGCCGGAGGCAGTGACCCCAGAAGAGTGGCTCACAGTGTCCTGAACTCTCCTGTGGGGTGTGGTGACACAGCCGGAGCCACCTGTGGCTGAGAGGCACAGAGCAGGGCCCCCTGCCACCTGTGGTTTGGGACAGGTGTGGCCCTGGCCACCGAGGCCAGCGAGGGCTGGCAGTGAGGAGCTGGCAGATGTCTGGGCCCAAAGAGACCTCTTCACTTCCTAGTGAGATTCCCACTCGCTGTCTCTCCTTCTGGGAGTGACTAGCATTTGTGGGGCCCTGGCTGGCTTGTCTGCCCTCCCAGAACTCTGGGGCCAAAGGGTCAGACAGAGCCCTGAGGCTCCAGGGAGGCTAACACTGGGGTGGTCAGGCTGAGGACACTCAGTGGGGTCTGCAGCCCCTGCACAGGTGAACTCAGGCGCCCAAGGGCTTGGTGCCAGAGAGGGCCTGGGACGGGGCCCGAAGGGGGCTGTGTTGCCTTTGCCCATTCAGGAGAGGAGATCCTACTCAGGCCCCTCCCCTTTTCTGCCCACTGGGCTCTGTTCTCCCTCACTCCTGCTCCTGGGGCCTCACTTCCCACCCTTTCCAGGGCTGGGTGTTTGCAGGGGCTCCCCACTCAGATCACGCTTTCTACAGCCTCCCTCTAGGGAGGGGCCTCCCCACCTCTGGGGCCGGTGTCCAGGCACTGCCTGCCTTGTCCATTCACCCGTGGGTGCCTGGGCATGGCAGGGGCTTCCTTTGGCCCCGGGCCTGCCAACGGTGGCTATGGTCAGTGCCCAGGCTGGGCCAGCCCATGGACACACCTCCGAGCTGAGACAGAAGGACGAGCAGAGCGTGGGCATGAAGGCCTGCGGAAAGTGACGTGGCTGGAGAGGGCGGAAGTGCCTGCCTGAGGCACCGAGTGACCTCGTGTGCGCACGTCAGTGTATCTGTGACTGTGTGTATGTGTGTGTACCTATGTGTGCATGTGTCTGCGTGTGTCCACATGTATGGGTGTGTGCTTGTATGTATGTGGGTGCATGTCCATATCCCTGTGCGTCTCTGTGTGTGTATGCAAGTTCCTCCACGTCTATGTCCATGGGTGTGTATGCATGTGTATTTGCACCCACGTACAGTGCATGAGTGCCTGTGTCCATGTACATGTGTGTTTCCTGTGTGTGTGTTTGCATGCCTGCATGGGTGTGCATGTGTGTGTCGTGTGTCCATGTTTCTGTGCCTGTGCATGTGTAAGTACCCATGTGCATGCATGTGTGTGCCTGTGTGCATGTGTGTGTGTGCCCATGTGTCTCTGTGTGTGCATGTGTGCATGTGTGTGTGTCCATGTGTCTGTGTCTGTGTGTGCATGTGTGTGCATGTGTGTGTGTCCATGTGTCCATGCCTGTGTGTGTGTAAGTACCCATGTGCATGCACGTGTGTGCCTGTGTGCATGCGTGTGTGTCCATGTGTCTGTGTGTCCATGTGTCCGTGCCTGTGCACGTGTAAGTACCCGTGTGCATGCACGTATAAGATTGCATGTGTGTGCATGTGTGTGTGTCCATGTGTCTGTGTGTGTGCATGTGTGCAGGTGTGTGTATGTGTGTGAGTCCATGTGTCTGTGCCCGTGCGTGTGTAAGTACCCATGTGCACGCACATGTGTGCCTGTGTGCATGCGGGTGTGTCCATGTGTCTGTGTCTGTGTGTGTACAGGTACCCACGTGCATGCACATATAAGCCTGCACATGTGTGCATGTGTCCGTGTGTGTGTACGTGTGTGCCACACACCTGGGTGGCCATGAGAGTAGCGAGAGGAGCACAGAGACTTTCAGAGGCTGGGTGGGGGCAGGGGCGGTGGTGGAGGTTGGTCTGGGGGTGAGGACAGCACAGCTGTGGCCCCGGTAGGCGAGAGCATCGCTCACTCAGGACGAGCATCTTTTGAATGGATGTTTTTATTTCTAATTTTGATAAAACGCCACATCTCACCCCATTGACACGGTTAGTTTGCACACATGCACACACAGCGACGGGTTCCCCAGGGACTCTGGGATCCACCCGGAGTGGGGCGGCCCACAGGTCAGTAGCAGGTGGTGGCCGTGTCAGACAAGACCAGGGACACGTTGTACAGGGTGGGTTTACCGGTGGACTTGTCCACGCTCCTCTCCGTCACCATGTGGGGCAGGGCCTCGTGGCCCACAACACAGGTGTAGGTCTCCCCCGAGCTCCACTCCTCCTCACTCACAGTCAGGGTGCTGTGGACAAAGTAGAGGTGGGGGTCCTGGGGCTCGGGCGTCGGGTCGCTGGTCACGTAACTCTCAGAGGACATGGGTTGGCCTTTCTGCAGCCATTGCACGAACACATCTGCGGGTGAGAAGCCCTTCACCAGGCAAGTGACTGTGGCTGACTCCCGCAGGCTCAGCTGCTCCCGGCTGGGTGGCAGGACGTAGACGGAGGGTGGTTGCTTGTTGACGTCTGTGGGAGGAAAGGCGGCTGTTAGCTCAGGTGGGGGGCTGGGGGGAGAGGCTGTGGGAGAGTCCCGGGGCAGAAGAGAAGCGGACTCCTACCCTTGGGTTTAGAGATGGTCTTCTTCAGTGGCGAGGGCAGATCTGTGTGGGTCACCGTGCAGGTGAAGTCCTCCCCTGACTCCCAGTCCTCTGCACAGACGGTGGCCTCCCCCGTGGCACTGAAGGTGTTGTTGAGGTTGCTCTGGAAGATGGTGGTGGTTGGCAGAAAGTTGCCATTCTGGTGGGTCCAGGAGATGTTCAGGCTGTCGCGGGTGGTCAGGTCTACGACCCTGCAGGACAGCTTGGCCGACTTAGTTTGGAAGATGCTGGCGAAGGTGGGGGGAATGGCGAAGATTCTGATGCTGGCCTGCGTGTCTGGATCGGGAGAGAGCTTGTGTCAGTGACTGGCTGGATGGGCAACCGGGCAAAGGGGGGAGGTTTTCCCAAGAGAACAGAAGCTGGCCACGCCGAGCCTTCCTGAGCCCCAAAGACCCCTTGGAGGGGATGCTGGGCCCCCCCACCTGACAAGTGGCCCCCTCCCTGCCCTTGGCCGCTCCAGGAAGCCAAGGCTCAGGAAGCGGCTGCCCTGAGTGGACACCTATGAATGTGAGGAGGGGTCCCTGCCCCTAAGGGGCTGCACCAGGGGCCAGGACCACTCACTGAGGATGCATGCGGAGGACACGTTCTTCTTGAAGGTCAGCCCACTGTGCTCCACATTGCAAGTGAACACGCTCTGGCTGAGCCAGGCATTCTCGGTGATGGTCAGCGTGCTGAGCACCCTGAAGGTCACGGGCCCGGGCCCTTGGTTCTCAGCCTCCACGTTGCCTGTGTTGAAGCCCGACTTGATGGGCTTTCCGTCACGAAGCCAGGACACAGAGATCTTCTTGGGGCTGAAGCCTGTTGCCTGACAGAGGAGCTGGGACGTGCGCTGGTTGTTGTCAGAGAAGGCGTCACGGGGTGGGATGAAGACAGTGACGTTGGGGGACAGCTCTACAGGCACTGCGGTGAAGGGGACAAGACGTCAGCCCACCTGACCCCCCTCCCTGCCCCCATCCCCGGCCAAGGGTAGGAGAGCCCGACTCTCACCTGGGATGGGCACGTTCACCTCCCTGTTGCCCTGGGGGTGTTTCACATTGCATGTGAGGAAGTCATCTGAACCCTGGAGGACGTCCACGGAGGGCAGGAGCACCTGAGAGGTAGCCACGTACTTGCCCTCTCTCAGGACTGGAGGGAAGGTCTGGATGTCCCGGTTGTTGACCACACTGTTGTTCTTGTAGTTCCAGGAGAAGGTGACGGAGCTGGGCAGGAAGTCCCGGGCCAGGCAGCCCATGGCCACCAGGGGCTCATCGGACAGGGAGCTCTCACAGGTGATGAGGGGGAAGAGATTTGGATGGGATGAGGTCTCTGAGGACCAGAGAGGGACAAGAGACAGGGGTGAGAAGGCGTCTCCTTCCCACGCTCTGCCAGGCGGGCCAACGCCAACCACATGGCTCCCTCATTTCGCTACCACGAGGGCTGCCCTCGCGGCCTCCCCAGCCTGGACCGACGGCGCAGTGGGCAGCTGTGTCGAGGCCCAGGTCCTGCTGGGAAGGGGAGGCAAGGCGGCCCCCGCCCTGCTGCAGAAGTCCAGCTCTGGGCTTGTGGGAAGTTGGGGGTGCTTCACGCTGGGAGGGGTGGATGTGACCTCCTCCCAGCACCTGCCACCCTTGCACTCAAGTGCACTCTGGTGCCTGGCTCTCAGCTCAGGACAGCTCGGTCCTGACTGGCGGTGCCTTCCCTCTGAGACCCCAGAGCCACGTAGGCACACTCAGCCACGAGCCCCGTGAACCGTCCATGTGGCAGGCTGACAGCATGGAGAGAGGACCCCCCAAGCACCCAGACAGACCACCAGCCCAGGCCTGTGTGTCTAGGGTCAGCAGAGACTGTGAACACGAGGAGTGGGAATTATGCAGATTCCTCTTGGCCTGTCCTTTGCACAACCAGGTCATTGAGGTCAGCCCAGTGTTAGTCAGGACAGTCCAGCAAGGCCAGGTCTCCCCAATTAGAACTAAGTGGCCCAACATGGGTTATTCTAGCACAAGCCTGGACATCAGACTCCTCTAAGCCAAGCCACTCAGAGAGTCCATTTCTGCTGGGCCAGCTCAGTGACCCTGATTGATTGGTTTGGTGTACTAACCCTAGCACACATCAGCCCAACCCAGCTCAGCCCAGCTCAGCTCAGCCCAGCTCAGCCCAGCTCAGCCCGGCCCAGCCTGGCCTACTCCAGCTTAGCTCAACCCAGCTCAACCCAACTCATCTCAGCTCAGCCCAGCCCAGCTCAGCCCAGCTCAGCCCAGTTCAGCCTGGCTCAGCTCAGTCCAGTTCAGCCCAGTGCAACCTAGCTAAACTCAGCCTGGCCCAGCCCTGCCCGGTTTAGCTCAACCTATCCTAGCCCATCCCAGCCTAACCCTGCTCATCCCAGTCCAGCCCAGTTCAGCTCAGCCCAGCTCAGCTCAGTTCAGCTCAGCCCAGCGCAGCCCAGTTCAGCCCAGACCAGAACAGTCCAGCTCAGCCCAACCCAGCTCAGCCCAGAGCAAGCCAGCTAAGCTCAGCCTAGCCCAGCCCAGCCCAGCCCGGTTTAGCTTAGCCCAGTTCAGCCCAGTTCAGTCCAGCTCAGTCCAGAACATCCCAGCCCAGCTCAGCTCAGCTCAGCCCAGCTAAACTCAGCCCAGCTCAGCCCAGCTCAGTTTAGCCCAGGTCAGCCCCAGGTCAGCCCCAGCTCAGCTCAGCCCAGCTCAGCCCAGCTCAGCCCAGCTAAACTCAGCCCAGCTCAGCCCAGCTCAGCCCAGCTCAGTTTAGCCCAGCTCAGCCCCAGCTCAGCCCCAGCTCAGCCCAGCTCAGCCCCAGCTCAGCCCCAGCTCAGCTCAGCCCAGCTCAGCCCAGTTTAGCTCAACCTAATCCAGCCCAGCTCAGCTCAGCTCAGCCCACCTCAGCTCAGTTTAGCCCAGGTCAGCTCAGTTCAGCCCAGTTCAGCCCAGTTCAGCTCAGCCCAGCTCAGCTCGGCTCAGCTCAGCCCAGTGCAATCCAGCTCAGCTCAGTTTAGCTCAGCCCAACCCAGGTCAGCCCAGCCCAATTCAGCCCAGCTCAGCCCAGTGCTAAGCTCAGCCCAGCCCAGCCCAGACTGGTTTAGCTCAACCTAGCCCAGGTCAGCTCAGCCCAGCTCAGCTCAGCTCAGCTCAGCTCAGCTCAGCCCAGTTCAACTCAGCTCAGCCCAGCCCAGCCCAGCTCAGCCCAGTTCAGCCTGGCTCAGCTCAGCCCAGTGCAACCCAGCTCAGCTCAGCTCAGCTCAGCCCAGGGCAAGCCAGTTAAGCTCAGCCTAGCCCAGCCCGGTTTAGCTCAGCCCAGTTCAGCCCAGCTTAACCCAGCTCAGCCCAGCTAAACTCAGCCCAGCTCAGCCCAGATTAGTTTAGCCCAGTTTAGCCCAGCTCAGCCCAGTTCAGCTCAGCCGAGCTAAGCTCAGCCCAGCCCAGCCTGGTTTAGCTCAACCTAGCCCAGCTCATCTCAGCCTAGTTCAGCCCAGCTCAGCTCAGCTCAGCCCAGCCCAGTTCAGCACAGCTCAGCCCAGTGCTAAGCTCAGCTCAGCCCAGCCCAGCTCGGTTTAGTTCAACCTAGCCCAGCCTGGCTCAGCTCAGCCCAGCCCAGCCCAGCCCAGCCCGGTTTAGCTCAACCTAGCCCAGCTCAGCCCAGCTCAGC